ATTCCCAGCTCGCTCTGCCGCCTGGGACTGCTGCCACAGCCTTCTTCCTTGTGAGAGGGGGTGAATGCGGGCAGCAAGTGAGGCAATGCCACAGCACCCCCATCTCCTGCCCTGCCAGAGGGGTGGTGAGACAGGAGGGGGTCTGTGTTACTGGCTCTGTTCTGGGGGGAGAGCCCCGGGCAGGGCAGGTTTCCCCCAAGGCAGGTTGGTGCTTACTGTGTCAGTTTAATGATTTCTAATGAGCAATTACCTCTAGTCAGTCCCCTAATTTCTGAATATCAATAAAGTTAATTAAACTCTGCATGTGCATTTCCCGGTGTCTTAGAAGTAGGGATATCCTGGGAGGTGCTTAGGTTTTCCTAGGGCTGGGACCCATGGAGTCCTGTCCACACTGTGCCCCCTGTCATGTAGTAGGACCTGCCTGTGGGCCCCAGCTCCCTGTCCCTCATCAGGCAAGGCTTCCACAGAGCACCCCAATTTCCATGCAGCACCACCATGCTCAGTGTTACTGTGGCCTTGGCTTGGCATTGATGGGCTGGTGCATGATGGGGATGAGCCATGGGTCTGGAGGACACGGGCATGGGGGATCTTGGACCCCTCAGTCAGGTTGGGGGCTTGGTGATGCCCTCTGAGTGATGGCAATGCAGGGTCTGATCCTGCATCTCTTCTCCCCCAGCCATGGGGCAGCACCAGCCCCTGGTGCCCACAGGGATTTTCCCCAGCAGAGAGTGGGTTCTGGACCCTGCAGTACTGTTGCAGCTGGGTGGTACGGTGCCAGGCAAGTCTCCATTCACCCTGCCCCACTGCAGCCCCTCTCCTCAACTCTCCAAAGCCATAGCAGACTGGACATTTTTTGAGGGGGTCATCTTAGCCACACTGAAGGGTGCTCCTTGTAATTTGGGGTCCTGGCAGCTTGGGGGTAATGAGAAGCAGTGCGGGTTGTGGCAGGGGGCAAGGCCTGGCTGTGCCCCCTTGAGCTGTGCTACAGCATCCAACATCAGCCAGATGCACCGTGGGGAAGATGTATTATGGGGACATGGTGTCTCTGGGGATGTGGGTGCAGGCTGGGGTCTCGGTGTGAGGAAGGGGCTGGGGGAGGAGGCAGGCGTCTGCTACAGTAATTAACGGCGTGTGTGCCCGTGCCCTGCATGCCTCGGAGGAGTTCGTCACCGCCACGCTGCCGTGCCGCCAGGCCAGGATTATCTGGATAATGCTCTTAAGCCAGAGAGCGGGAGGGCAGGGCTGTCCCGCGGGGATGTGGGGCGCAGGCTGAGCCAACCACCCCCACCATCCCCCGGGAGCCTGATTGCCGCAGGGATCGTCTGTGGGTTTGCGGTGGTGGGAACGAATTCAGCACAAGGTGCTGTGCCAGGCAGGGCTGCCAGGCAGAGCCAGGGCAGGAGGAATGTGGGGGAAAATGGGGCACAAAGAAACTTGGGCAAGGACGTGACAAGGGCACCCCAGGCCTGGTGCAGAGCAGTGGGGAGGTGCCCCCCCTGTGCTGCCAGTGGGACCCCCAGGCTGGCATGGGGCTCTCTAGGGCTGTTTCCCCATATGGAGCCCCATGCCAGGGTGGGGGCTGGGGCTGACCCTGACTGCGGAGTCCCCCACGAGCACCAACAGCCCCTGGGGGAAGCGGATGAAGTTGTGTCTCCAGTGGCTCTGACGGGAGAGGATAATTTCGCTTCCAATCAATTCTTTAAATGCGCACAATTGAAAGATTGCCTCTGAAAGCTGCCTATAACCAGGGAGGTAATGGATTCCCTCCAGTTGCAGGCAGGGAGCTCGGGAACAGCAGCATCCCTTCCTCCTGCTGCCAGGGAGATGGGGTGAGCCGGAGGACCAGCATTGCTCCCACCACGACCATCCTTGGGTGGGTGAAGAGGCTGCCTGGACCTGCCAGAGGCAGCTGGGGATGCCTCTATCTGCCTGGCTTACTGCCAGCCTGCCCTGTGCTGAGACCTGGCACCGCTCATTACATCTTCCGAGGTGCCAGGGGGGTCCCACTGGCCAAGGCTGAGGATGCACTCGATCCCCAACCTGCAGGAGAAGCGTCAGGAGCCAGTCCGCACGCTCGCTGTGCCAGTAGGAATTATTACATATATAATTTAAATGCAGTAACGAGCTGTGCTGAAGGGATCAAATATTAATCAGCCGCAAGAACGCTGCTCTGACCCTGCGAAAATGGAGAGAGGTGCTTGAAATGCCAGATCAGCTGATGCTGGGCGATGCGTGGGGTGATGCTCAGGCAGGGTGGGCTCTGGTGGTCCCCAGCTGCCCTGGGAGATGGCAGCAAGGGGGAATGTGGCCATGGCATCAGCCCCTGGTGGCTTCTAGAAATGGATGGTTCATCCTATAGGAAGAGTGGTGATGGGGCAGGGTGTGGGGTTGGCTGGAAGGGAGCTGGTGCTGGAGGCAGCTGGGATGCTGGCTCTGGCGGGAGCAGGCGGCGATGGGAGGGAATGGTGTCTGCGAGAAGGATGACATGGCTGAGCAGCCCAACGCAGAGCCCGACAAGCAGCTCTCGGTCGCCTCCCGCAACCGATTTCAATTACTGTTGCTGGCAGCGGGCAGGGAAGGGGAGATAGGAGCTGGGAGGGCAGCGTGGCTCTGCTCTCCCTGCCTGATTCCTGCCCGTGCTGGGCAGGCACCTCCAGGACCCAGGAGTGCTCCGAGAGCTGGGTGCTCCTCTGTCATGCAGCGGGGTGAGCTGTGATGGATGCTGGGGGGGTTCAGAGCTTGCACCGAGCCCCATGGGGGACTGCTGTCCACACTGTGGGCACTACGGGGTGGCATAGCAGTGAGGTCTCTGTCACAGGGGATCCTGATGCAGAGCTGGAGGGGCTGATCAGCACAGAGAGGGGGGACGTGGCACCACACAGTGCTTGGGTCCGAAATAGCAGCAGACATACAATTTATCCCCGCTGCCGCCGTGCAGGGAAATTGCTGTACAAACCCATTAGCTCCACAGGGAGAGCGGGGAACTGGGATTACATGGGCCGTGGGTGACGGGGAGGGGATGAGGGCACCACTGGCATCCGCCGGGTGGGGAGGGAGGAAAGCCCCAGGGATGGGCACCCTGGTGCTCGCCGCGCTCTGCCCTCGCGCCCACCCGGTGTCGGTGACGCTCGGGGTGTTCGGTGTGTCAGCCGGCGCTCGGCCGCCGCGATGCTCCAGGGAACCGGTTGCGGTGACGTGACATGTGTCAGCGGGTAAATGACTGTTCAATTCAAGGAGAATCACAAAACATACAAGGTCAAATGCTTCCCCACCAGCGCTGCCATGAATATTAAAGCAGAGCTCCTCTGGTAGCTGCCAGGGCTGGCGGCCATACTCGCTGGCAGTGTCCCCGGCCACCGGGACACCCCTTGGGTTGCCTCCCCAGCTGCTCTAACAGTCTCAGCTTGGCCATGGGCATCTGGGGTCACTGGCAGTGCCAGGATGGAGGTGGTCACGGGGTGGCAGGACATGGATGCCAGCATAGGTGCCAAAGGCATTCCCAGCTCACCAAGCTGGGCGCCAGTGGTGTCAGCTGGATGTCAGGGGAGCTGGCTGCACAGCCCTGCCTGTGCCCACCCACCCCTGCCTGCATCCTTACACTGCCTGCCCATGCCTGCCTGCATCCCGACACTGCCTGTATTCCCATGCTGCCTACACCTGCCCACCCACCACCTGCACCCACCTGTATTCCCTGCCTGCTCCTGCCCACATTGCCTTCCCGCTGAAAGCAAGCCTTGCTCCCTGCTAGGGGTCTGCAGAGACACCAGGATGGGACAGATGGGGATCTGGCATCAACAGTGCATGTTCCATCTCCTGTGCCTGCTTTGGGATCTGGGAGTAGTTCAGGGGGCTGGGGGCTGTGGGTGACAGAGTGTGGAGGCTGTGGGTGGGGGAGTGTGGCATTGGCTGCCTGACAGCTCATTAATCACGGTTGCCGGCCCTGGCCATGGGGGTAAAGCCAGATTGGATTTTAAATTGGAAAATAAACCTGGAATCCTGTGAGGCCCTCCCCACTGCGCCCAAGATGCCTCCTGCCTGCCCACTCCTACAGAAGGGGAAACTGAGGCAAGGAATACTACCATGCCATGGCACCGTGATGCTCCTGGGACCACCAAGGGCCCTGTCCTGTCCCCTGCCCGAGCTGGGCACTCTGTTATTGCTTTCTTGGCGGGCAGCATCGATCGGTGCTCCCCAGGCGGCCGCGTGCTGCCTTATTTATTTATTTGTGACAGCAGGCAGCATCGATTCCCGTTGGGGGGGCAGCTGCCCGCCACAGCCGGATTAGTCTCTGGCATCTCCCGGCTGCCGTTAATAAACTCCCGCCCAGCAAAGCCAGTGTGAGGGATTAGGACCCCGTCCTGGCTGCAGCCATGGGCACGTGGCAGCCGTGCCCAGGGACACCGGCAGGCGCATGGCCAGTGGGGACCTGACAGTCCCTTTGCAAGGGTCTGTGCCCACTCTGAGCTCTGGAGGGTCCCTGTGGGTGCCAGGGGCTGGAGGGGTGGCTGATGGATAGCTAGTCCCATGTCAGAGGTCCCTGGTCACCTTGGGGGCGTGGGAGGGACATAGTTGTGGCACTGGAGATAAGCTGCTTAGAGACATCTGTGGAGGTGGAGGCTCTAATCCTGTGGTGTTCACGGGGCATGAGTGGCAGCAGCTGGGCATCCGGTGCCTTCCACAGTGGGCTGAGCATCCTGCATCCCTTGAGGGTCAAGACAATCCTGGGTCCTGAGCATCCCCTGGTGCCAGGACCATCTCATGGTACCCAGATCAATCCACAAAGCCCAGGGCAGTGTCTGGTGCCTACACGCTCCCCAGGCCAGGATGCACAGTATCCAGATGGGACCTGCTTTAGGATCCTTGTTGTGGGGTCTGGCCTCACCCAGTAGCCTCAATGGGGACCACTGTGCCTCCCAGCACTCTGGGCAGGTGAGATGCCCATGGGCAGGGGTGTTCAGGAAGGTGAGATGGGCATCTCTACCCCAGCCTTCACTGTGTGGGGCAGCCGTGGCAGCGCAGGGCCCAGCCCTGAGCACTAATCTGCTATTAAAGCCTAGCGGAGATTTTGGCGCCCTTCAGCATAAACTCATTAACTTTTATGTTCAAATAAATGGATCCTATTAAAATATAATTCTGGCCTTGCTGGGGGGCAAGTGAACCTTTCAGAACCAGTGTGGGCAGGTGTTCACTTCCCTGCTGTGCCCAGGGCATTATCACCATCCCAGGGCGATGGCAGTGGGGGAGTGGGGACACAGGGTGGGTGGCAGGGGGGTGTGAGGATGCCTCCCAGCATCCAGCGTCTCCCCACCACGCTGCACACCCAAGATAATGTCTCTTAATAGTCCCTTAAAAGCAGCAGTAGCAGAGTAATTAATCTTCACGGGGCCCTGCCCTGCTAGGGATCGGGATAATTACCCGGTAATTGGCAGTATCGTGTCATCAGTGCCTGTGCACGGCA